GTGCCCGGCGGGGGACTCCACCCCTCAGCGGTGCTCCGGTGCCGGTCCTGGGACCAGCAACGGGATTGCAACCCTCGGTGTTGCTCCCGCGCCTCGCTCAGCCAGTGAGCGGGAACCGGTCTGTATGTGGGATCCGAACCCTCGGGCGGGAGCGCCGCCGCACTCCCCAAGCGGCGCACTATCCAGTGTGCCACCGGGCCGGCCCTGGTTCTCAAATTTTAACATGAATCAGAAACACCTGCACTCCTGCTTCTGTAGGTCTGGGATGGGGTCCAAGAATTTGCATTTCTAACAAGTTTCCCAGATGATGCTTATCATAGACCACAACTTGAGAATCAGTGCCTTAGCTACAACTTTTTTCTTTTCAGTGCCTAAGCTATTAACTACAAACTAAGAAATAGAACTTATATCTGAAATTACAGTGAATAATGTTTTATAATTAGTACTAAGAGTTCCCTCTCATCACCTAGCCACTAGGACTTTAAAAGCGATGGTTCCTACCTTGCCTCCCACAGCCACTGGCCTGTCAAAGATGCCATGCATGCCCAGGATGGCAGACTGAGGGGGGTTAATAATGGGTGTTCCAAACAGTGAGCCAAAAACACCTCCATTGCTAATGGTGAAAGTACCACCATCCATATCTTCAATGGCAAGTTCATTCTTTCGTGCCTAAAAAAAACAAAGATTTCATAACTGAAATATTAAGCCAATCTAGCATACTCCACCCAAAGAAAGTCCACAAAGCTCCTGAGATCAACTGAACCAGCCCTAGCTTCCACATGACCATTGTTCAGCTGAGATGACTGTGACCAGTGCTCCACCAGAGAAAAGGCATGATTCCCAACAGCCAGGGACTCAAAGAGGACATCCACCCGCCCCCTCCCAGCAGGTCTCATTTGATAAGATTTCAATCACCAAAGCATACTAAGCTCCATAAGATATTTGTGCTTAGCTCTTCTGGGCTTCTGCCTTTCTCGGGGGTTATGCACTTCTTACGGAACAAGACGAGACTCCGGCTCCTTGAGAACTGCTTGGAGGTGAACCCGGCCTTCTGTGGGCTCTCTTCCCTCACCCACCTAGCAGCTCATACACATGCTTCTATTTTACCTTCTCTCCCAGTTCATTGATGGTTCGTTCAATATCTGCATAATTCATAGCTTCCACATTCCTGATGACAGGAACTACCAGACCCTGAAGGAAGTAAAAAGCTATTTTCAGCTGCAGATTAACAGTACCCTTTATAGTTACAACTCTCTTGACTAAAGCCAATGGTCTCCCCTCCCCAGAATACCTTCATTACTCATTATTTCATTACTGTGATTAATAGAATGTCTAAAATATTTAGGTTTGATGTTCAAAGAATGTGGTATGGTAAAAAAATAGGTTATTTTTACTAACTCTCTTCTAATATAGAATTATAGAAATGATCTCTCCTGTGTGATCTGCTTCTTCCCCCGGAAAAGGCTGAGGGTCCAAGATCAGCACCCCCCACCTCTTGCCCCAACATACCCGTGGGGTGGCCACTGCAACACTGATGTCAATATAATCCCTATACACCACCTCCTTGCTTGCATCGTCAATCACTATGAGAGAGAAAGCACATGTTACATACAACTCACCAGGCCGAGGATAATGAGGTAATATTTGCATTAACAGAGTAAAAAACTACAGTGTTTGATGCAGTGTGAGCTGACCACCAACATGAAAACCACTGCATTACAAACGGTAGTTGGCACTCTACTTACTCCCATCCCAACCAATTACAGTATCTCCCAAGCCCCCTGAGCCTGAGTGTAAGAGCATCCCTTTCTTTGACAGCCCTCAGAAAGGCTCAACGTGCTGGCTTATGTAAGACAGGTACACGTTAAGTTCTTGTTAACTAGCTCCACTCAAGCCCTCCCTCAGCAGAGAATGGCTAGGTTAACAAGTGCAAAGGAAAGGGGGTGTAGGGATGCTGCTCCTTCTGCTTTCCACTCACAACAAGGGGAAGAGGGAAGCCTCCTTTCAGGAGATTCAGGAGGAAGTGGGGTGGTCTGGCTTTAAATATGCTAGCTTGAGATAGCAAAACAGCAGCTGAAAATTTACATCTAGAACTCAAGAGAAAAAAGGCTTGGGAATCTTTTCCACAGAAAGTATATGTTGTATTGTTAGATAAGACACCCAGGGAAAACATGTGAAGTAAAAGAGGCCAAGAGAAGTTTGAGAGTTGACTACGTGTATGGGCAGGCAGAAGAAAGGGGGCCAATGGAAAACATGGAGAAAGCCGGTCAAGAAGGCATGTAAAGAATGGGAGAAACAAAGAAGTTCACATTTGGGCAAAAAAATAACAGCCCATCTACCTACCTAGAGCACACCATGGGATAGGACTAGGGCTTCCTTTCCTAGATCTTTAGGGACCCTAGCACTGCTGAAGATTGCAAAAGTGCCAATGCCCACTCTGCAATCTTCCAGGGAACAGAGAAATCTTCATAAGAAAAAGAGAAGTGCTTGTTAGGTCAACACTTCAATGACATAGGTGAATAAAAACGAAAGAAAACAAGGACCAAGTCCGTGAAAGAAAAACCAAGCCCAAGACTTCCCAATGAGGCCCATCGACCTGAGATCAAAGGTCACCCTGGAGCCTAAACCAAGTGTGGAAGTCAGACCCTAAGATAACGGGACTCATGGACAGTGGAGAAAAAATAATCATGATGCCGTTTCAGGAAGGTGAATCAAGAAATCCCTGGAGAAGATATTCATATTTCCATCGGTATGAAATAAAAAAACCTTGGTCTGATGACCCCCTGAATGTGGAAGCAGGTCTGTGTTCATACACCTACCTCCCAGGACCTCTGCAATTCTGGCCACAAGAAACTCACCTGCATTTACAACAGGCTGCTCCTGCAAGGCAAAGGCTGAGGCCTTCACAAATGCCGACATAAAGCCTAATTTGAAGTTATGTTTCTTCAGAAAAGCATCTTTGTGCCGAGCCCTCATCTCCTGGATGTTACTGTAAAAACATATTACAAAACAAAGTGATCACAAACGAAGCCTTGATTCTGACTTTCATATGGATTTCTAACTCCATGTACACATTTGGGTAAGCTTTTCTCTTACCCTGGCCACCCTAAAATTCTGAACTATCCATCCTGAAAAAAAATTTGTTTCAAAGTATAAGCAAAGTCTAAAAAATAAGCAATATTCTTTGTAATTCTTGTTAGAACTATTTTCAAAAAACCACCACATCTGATTATGACTTCCTTGCACCATTCATTCCTATCTCCTGATTAGTGAATAAAACCCCACAGGTATATGGGCTCCATGAGAGCAAAAGCAGTCATAACTGTACACAGCAGGGCATGTGTTATTTCAGACTCATGGGAAAATCAGTAGATTCCTTCTGCATCCCTCCAGAGTTAGCAGTTCCATCCACTTTTTCCTTCAAACAGGTACTAACACTCACCACATGTGAGAGTCAGGGCTGGACACCAAGATACAAGATAATTAAGACATAGCTCTTGCCCCAATCTTATTGAACATAAGATTAGTTCAATAGATGTGGTTTTCTTGGTATTTAGAAAAGAGGCCAAGCGTACACCTAGGCCTATCCCCTTCAAATTAAGCAGCAGGGCGTTCAAGGAAGGCTTTGCAATGTGAACAGACTTTGTTCTTTGGGGACTGGTTTTTTCACATACAAACTTAAGAGTTAGTGGGAAATGGCTTTCCCATCATTTTGCTGCAGAAACCTCAGTATTTATTGGAATACAGTTCCGTGATAAAAATCAAATTTATCTCAGGCTCAAATGCTTAGTTCTCCCTTTGTCCTATAGAATGGCCTAATTTGACATTAGCACGAAAGATAAGATGTGGTACAGCTTTAAGTGCCCCCCTTCAGACCTTTTGTTTTTGAAAAAGGAAGTTTGCCTACGTGGACTGATTGGGTTTAAAATGCTTGTTTTCCTGAGTCTAACCTTATTTAGTGCTAGGATTACCACCCTAAAGACATTACTGGTTCCCAAGACACAAGAGCTGCAGAAGAGGGAAAGAGAAGTGATAAACATCTCTGCTCTCAAACCTGCCCAAATGCTATTGTCTGGTCATTAAGTAGTTTCCATTTCAGAGCTCTGCCCTTGGAAGCAGAGGCTGGTACAAAATGGGAAAGGACAAGGTCTCACAAAGGCCCCTTATGGGTTAACTGATTAGCACAAGACCCAAAGGGCACTCAATCTAAACCAGATTACTGGCTGCAGTGAGACCTCAGGTCATTGTTAAGTGACACATCAATTAGCTGCTGAAAGGAGATCCAGCTGTCATATTTACCTTCCAATCAAAGCTGTTGGGCCAACTGCATCTTTCAAGGACACAAATATTTACATGTTTTATCTTAAGAAATTGGGTAGAATTTCAACACCCAATTCAATTTGTGTACAATTTGGCCCTAATGCACTGAAATATAAGCTGCAGGCTTTGTGATTGATTAGTCAAGGTCCTCCCTACATCCTATGGACAGCAGAGAAATCTTTGGCTTGAATGACATCCAGTCTCTTTAGAAACCTTCCCAATAGAAGGATGACATCTAGTGAAACAGGCCACAGAGTCCTTCTCCCTGTGAACAATGCCACAGCACACTGTCAATAAACCACTCCCTTCTATTTTTTGGACCCCTTCCAAAGGAAAACAAATTTCCCTAATGAAAAGTTAGGTTAGCAGACTAAATATTCAGGACAAAAAGAAGCAAAGAGATGACCCGAAGACTTGAAATACGGATCCAACCTTCTTTACCATAGTCAACCTTCTTTACCGGTCTTTGACTATTTCTTAAATGTGTCTTGTACTTTCCTGCCTGTGTCACGGTCCACACTGTTAACATCATCTGGAATGACCTTTCTCCACAATGCCACCTGTCAAATGCTAGTCATTTCTGAAAGTCTATTAAAAATATCCTTCCTCCAAGAAATCTTTCCTGTTGCTGTCCTTGCTATCTCTACCCCCAACTTCAAAAACAAATGATCTCACTCTCTTCTCTATTTTTCATTTTTACTCCTCTGACACTTATTTTTCTAGATTTTTCTCTGTGTTCATTCAAATTAGATGGTAAGCTCTAGGAGGCCAGGAACTCTTTTCACTCATCTCTGTATACTCCTTGATTTCCATAATATAGTTTTCCAAACACTCAAAAAATATTTGTTAAATTTACCTATTGTTTTTTCCCCTACTACTTCCTCTTCCCTACAGTGCTGATACTTACACACATCAAAATCTTGAAGAAAACAGGTGAGTCAACAATTAGCTCACTACAGAAACGGGTATAGTGAATTAGACCTTCTGGTTAACATTCTTGGGTTTTTATTTAAAAACAGAATTTGCTTTCCATTTTACTATCAAAGCTAGAAAAAGTGAAAGATATGACAAGCCTATGCCTTTTCACCTACCCGATCCTAAGTTGCTTAGGAGCACACATAAAGAACAGTCTCTGTGACAAAGCACCAGGGAGCAGTGCCCTGGCTCTGGGCATGCTGTAAAGGGTTTTTCATCCCAAGGGGTAGGCCTGGTTGCCGCATCTCTGCTTGGCAACCTGACATTAGTCAGAGTTTAAGATTATTATCAGCCTGATCTATCAGAAATCACAAGATTCAGGTATAAAAGTCTGAAAGGCTGAGTGTAAGTCACAAAGGAGGCAGGCATAGTATCAGGAAAGTCAATTAGAAGACGAAACCCACAGATCACTCTATGTCAACAACAAGCAAAGAAGTACTTCTTCCCCGTCAAGTCAGTTTTGGAATCAGCACTAAGTAGGGACTAGGGCAAGTTCGAGTGTTCACCAAGGAAAAAGAACATGGGGAATGAGAGGGGCTAGAGATCCAACCTCATGTCAATCTCGTTGAAAGTAGTCAACATTGCACATGTATTCTGGGCCTCCTTCAGACGCTGAGCAATGCGCTGTCGCATCCTGTTCATTCTTTCCTGAAAGTGAAAAAAGTATTGATAATCTGGTCTCACTGGATCAGGTATTTCCCATGTAGTCACAGAGAGCACTTAGCTTGCCAGGAGTGGATGGCTGAGGACTGTAGTACCAGAGTACAAGAGCTCCAGGCTTCCCCTTTCCCTCTGGTGGCCTTCCTCCTCTGAGCAAGAATGAGAAAACATAGGCCAAAACTACACACTCAGACGTGCCTGAAGTTTGACCAAGAATGGAGACCCAGGAAATGGTTTGATTTAAAAACCAAAACCAATTTGTGAAAAGGAAGAATGTGGCATAGGTCTAGCCAGCTTAAGAATCATTACAGAATGGGCAATTTCTGTTGACAAAGACTTGCATGATTCGGATCCCCACACCAGCCAGCCACAAAAAAACAAAACAAAACAAACAAACAAAAAAACTTGCATGAGAATAGCTACTTGTGGAATGAAAACTCATGAGCAATAACCTTTTGAGGCTATTATATTTTTAGGAAGTATTCTCAGGCAGAGGAACCCACAATCTTGACCATATTTCTTTGAGGTTTTATGTCTGCCCCTGATAGCTACTACTACTGTGTAGTATCCCTTAGCTACAGCTAAGCATCCAGGAAGTATAGGAATAGAGCTTACTAAAGTGTGTGAGCACCTCTCTGAAGTGTGTCATTGTGGGAGGGAGGGGGTGCGTTGCTAAGCTACCATCCCCTGCAAATATTTTACTTACCCGAGGCACTTCATTGGTGACATACTATAGTGGAAAAATCTCTGGACAAGTGTTCAGAAGACCTCGGGTTTTAGTTCTATCATTTGCTGGTTACATGACTATGAACAAGCCACTTCCTAAACTCTGTTTCTTTGTCAAGGCCAAGGGAATGAGCTACCAGCCATTCAAAAGTAGGTACCACTGCACCCACACTCTACTCATCTCAAAACTGCCCTTTAGCCTCTTTCCTGGAAGTGCTCCTCAGAGGCTTACCCGATGTTCTGAACGCAGACCTTTGCCAGCTCCTGGCTCAGCTAGTGGAGGGACTGCAGAGGGTTTTACTGCAGACACTGAAAATGAAGAGAGGGTACAGCTGCCTCAGAGAAGGAAAGAAACATTCACTGAGTATGTGCCAGTGTTTTCAACTGTACTGTCACTTAATCCTCAAGATATTCTGAGGTGTATTAGTATTATTCCAACTTCACAGATGAACCATCTGCTCAGACAAGTTAAGTAACTAGCCTAAAGTCACAGAGCTAGTAAACAGAAAGCTGGGATGCATACCCAGATCTTCAGATACAAAGTCTAGAGTTCTTTCTACAATCAGTCAACCTGGCCTGTTCAGAGCCATGATTAGTCTCAGACTTTACCCTGTGAGGGAACATATTAAACGAGATATTCTTCTGTCACATAAAGATACGTGGGAGTTGGAGGCTTACCTGGTTTGCTAGAAGGAGGCTGTGAGGGGGAGGGCACTGGTGGCATCTGAGTGGGTATGGGTGCTGCAGGGGGAGGAGGAGCTGCTATAGGCTCTGCTTTTGGGGCTACAGCAGCAGGAGCTTCAACTGGCTTGGCCTTAGCAGGAGCAGCTGGAAAACAAGAAAACAGATGCCATTGGCACTGTCTGGAATGGAAAGCAACCAAATCGCTGATACTAAGCAGAATTTAGTGGCAAAAAGCTCTACCTCCAATTAATTAACAAACGTGTACTGGGTGTCCGCTATATACACGTCACTATGAAATACACACAATGACATAAGGCACTATTCTGTATTCTCCAGGGTCCCTAAATGTCCAATATCAGATAACTAGCTCAATTCAGCTGCATTTCTGATTTCACAAATATCTACTGATCAAATTCAGCAAGTATTTTTAAAGTACCTACTAAGCCCAAAGAAATATAAACTACTAAGCAAAAAAAGCCCAACTTAAAATGCTGAAACACATACATAAATGTGACATATTTCCAGTTATGGTAATAATGATAGTGTCATCTTCTATTTTAACATTACCTATGGAAGAATACTCTAAACTTTTATTTTCTAACAGTTAAATCAAGGGTTCATTTAGGCTTCAAAGTTCAAAACATTTCACCCAGGATGACTCTCATACTTACAAATCAATGAGGTGATCAAGGAATAAATTCACAACTTTAAATTAGAGGTTAATTTTGATTTTTATTCATCTGGACATCATATCCAGTTTTATATTTAAATTAGAAGAACTTTTGTGTGTTTTAACAGTAAGAAGTTACCAGTAGATGGACTTCAACTGGAAGACTCATTCCCATTTCCCAGCCTTCTAGTGTACATTTTTTTCCCCACCCTGAGCTTCTGGTCTTGCCCTCATCAAACTCAATGATTCAATCTGTCATCTTTCTGCTTGACTATTTTAACAATTAAAAAGAAATAGACCTTAGTAGTTATAGCATTTAACTAAGAGTAAGAAAAACAATTGATTTCTCTTCTAATCTAGAATACTGACTGTGATGCTCAATTCAAACTCTTCTCATTTCTTCCCAAAAGAAATACCAACCCTCCCTAGAGATGTTATGAAATAATAGATGTGAAAAGAAACTACACTGAATTCTCCATAACAGATACCATGAAATACTGCTTCTTCTTACTTTGGAATAGTGGCTCTCAGCCCTGGCTATCTATGTATCAGAATCACTTAAAGAGCATTAAAAAAAAAGAAAAAATTATAATAGATAATCAGGATATGATATATCAGAATCTCAGGGTCATGGGGCCTAGTCATTTGTATTATTTTTAAGGCTCCCATGTCGGGGGGTGGGGGGTATCACTGTCTTTAGAACCTTCGTTTCTATTGTATCTTTAAGAAAGATCCAGCATAAGAAACATCCATGGAAAGAACAGAATATTATAAGATTGTTTCAATACACTTTTCTTCTAGAACTTGTCGTTCAATGTTCACACTATATAAATATTACTCCTCTTATCTCTTCAATTAAGGGCAGCTGGAATGCCAAAGAGTCTTTGAGGTACTACAGAATTAGTACATTATGCTGAGCCTCTATCCCAAGGGGGAACACTGGAGACCTTGACCACCAGGAAAACTTCTTTACCACCAGTTTTCCTGAGTGTGAAAAGAGGAGTGCCTCCTTCGACTTTTCCCCCATCAGGTACCAAAAGAGCTTCAATCACGCCATTTGCTGGTGATGGAACCTGCACAGATGTCTAAAAAAGTAAGACAGAGAAAGAGCCCAAATTTTTATCCAGCATTAGAAAATTGAGATAAATTAGAAAATTGGATAGAATCTCCAACATGAGTCACAGGAGTTGCAACACAGACATGCAAGTCCCTGAGCATAGAAACACCTAAAGACACACTTTCACTTTCAGAATAAGAGTGATAAGTCATTGCTATTGTGAAGATTCACCCTTTCTGCCTTTCTCAGAAACATTAAAGCAATATTAAGTAAATGTGTTTCCAAGTGATACACAGAAAAAAAAACTGGAAACAGCTCGGGCCCCAAAAAAAAAAAAAAAAAAAAAGGTCTATAAGACTAAAGCTACTAAGTACATAGTACATACATATGGAGCAATCTAAAACTAAGCCTGAAAAAATTTTCTTTTTAATAAGCTACTCCAATACTTTTTACAACTGATGTTAGAACTAGTTAAAAATTATCTTTAAGCAGGGTGTTTTAATACCAAGGTCAAGGGTTTGGATCCCCATACTGGCCAGCCACGAAAAACAAAAAAATTATCTTTAAGCAACAATTAAGTCTCTTTCTTTCATTAACTAAGGGGAGACCACGAAAAATTGCCTCTAATACAGTACAAGCCTACCTTGTCAGTTTCAATCTCACAAACCACTTCATCTTCTGCAACTGTGTCTCCAACAGCTGAAAAAACAATCAAAGTCTACCTGTTAGGGGGAACCCTACAGTAGCCACAGAACCCCTTTGGCAGATGTATTACAAGACCCCTTTCCTACAGGGCAAGGGGAAAGTATGTATATATGAAAAGCAAGGGTGGAACCATAGGTTCCACTGATTATCATGGGAGAAGGAGACATTTAGGAAGTACTTAAATGCGAGAGGAAACAATCTTACCTTTCTCCCACCTAACATCTCCCTCTGTGACTGATTCTGCAAATGCTGGGGTTTTGACTGTAACCACTTCATCCTCTAGAAAAAAAGCAAAAAGTAAATCCCGAGTAGTTTATTTTTTCCTTTTTAATGTTTTTCTTTAATTAAACTCAGTCAGTTGTTTCTCTTCCTATTAAAACTCCACTCCCAAGAAGGCAGAGAGCTAAAGGCAGGTACTTACTGCACACAGCTGTAGTTCTGAAGAAGCGAACATTGAAGACACTACTGTTGTTAATGCTACAAAAGAAACACAAAAGTTAACTCTTTTAGCAGATGAACCACTCACATTTTAGTCTAGTTAAAGGCACCATGGGTCAATCTGACCTTTAAATCAGTGACTCTTGACAGGAGTGCCTAGTGTCACCCAGAGGGACTTTTACAAAGTACCCAAGTGCAAGCCCTATCCCTACAGATTCTGACTCAGCAGGTCTAGAGTAGGATCTTAAATATTGAGCTCCCTGTGTGAGTCCAGAACCACCCTGCACTGCTATAAAATGCCAGCCCTCACAAAATAGACTTGTATTTGGCTCTTTGAAGGAAAAAAAAAAAAAAGCATCTTGGTCCTTTGCAGATCCTTCAAAGGACTTAGCTTCTTGATTAGGTTTCAACACCAAGTCAAGGGTTAAGATCCCCTTACCGGTCATCTTTTATAAAAAAAAAAAAAGAAAAAAAAAAAAAAGCATCTTGGTCCTTTGCAGATCCTTCAAAGGACTTAGCTTCTTGATTAGGTTTCAACACCAAGTCAAGGGTTAAGATCCCCTTACCGGTCATCTTTTATAAAAAAAAAAAAAGAAAAAAAAAAAAAAGCATCTTGGTCCTTTGCAGATCCTTCAAAGGACTTAGCTTCTTGATTAGGTTTCAACACCAAGTCAAGGGTTAAGATCCCCTTACCGGTCATCTTTTATAAAAAAAAAAAAAGAAAAAAAAAAAAAAGCATCTTGGTCCTTTGCAGATCCTTCAAAGGACTTAGCTTCTTGATTAGGTTTCAACACCAAGTCAAGGGTTAAGATCCCCTTACCGGTCATCTTTTATAAAAAAAAAAAAAGAAAAAAAAAAAAAAGCATCTTGGTCCTTTGCAGATCCTTCAAAGGACTTAGCTTCTTGATTAGGTTTCAACACCAAGTCAAGGGTTAAGATCCCCTTACCGGTCATCTTTTATAAAAAAAAAAAAAGAAAAAAAAAAAAAAGCATCTTGGTCCTTTGCAGATCCTTCAAAGGACTTAGCTTCTTGATTAGGTTTCAACACCAAGTCAAGGGTTAAGATCCCCTTACCGGTCATCTTTTATAAAAAAAAAAAAAGAAAAAAAAAAAAAAGCATCTTGGTCCTTTGCAGATCCTTCAAAGGACTTAGCTTCTTGATTAGGTTTCAACACCAAGTCAAGGGTTAAGATCCCCTTACCGGTCATCTTTTATAAAAAAAAAAAAAAAATCAAAAATAGTTTTACAAAAAAGATTTTAAAAATAAAGTGGGTACCTTACAGAAAAAAAGACAACACACAACACAAAAACAGATATTAGATTAGGGTGACACAATTAGGGGTGAACCCACTCAAAGTTTGGGTTTTTTTTTTTTTTCCATAATTTACTTTCAAGTAGTTATTTGTTATGTTTATTGCATAGAGGTTCATGATTGACCCAATTTTCATTTAAACTGCAGAAAAGTAATACATTTTGAACCTCTCTGAATAACTTTTTAAATTACAAAAGCATTAGATGTTCACTGCAGAATATGAGAAACAGCAAAAAGAATGTTTTTAATGGGATTGTGCCAAACAACAGAAAATGGAATCATTTTGTAACCTGCTTTTTTCCACTTATCATAGTGTGAACGTGTTAATACGCCATAGGTTAACCAATTCCCTGCTGTTCGCCACTTCGAGAGAGATCTGGGTATACCAGGTTCTTTAGTATAGATTCCTAGAAATGGAATTGCTAGATCAAAAGGTATATACAATTGAAAAACTTACGGCTGCCCAACTGCCCTCCAAAATTAACAAAGGAATTCAAACTTCTAGTACTGAGTCCAACATTTTCTCAATTAATAAAAAAACCACCTCACTGTGATGCACAGTCAGAAAGAAGCTAATTCACTGATCCTTCACTTCGAAGATTCTCCCTGTAGAGAAAGCTTGATCGCTGTTGAACAGGTTACTAGAGAGCATCAGGAGCACCACCCTGAAAATACTTTGAATGCAAAGTAGTGTTTAAGTAACATTCTTAAGCAGAAGTTAACCTGAAACACACATGGGTGGCCTTTCTCTGAACTCTGCGTTATGCAGTAATAGCATTTCCTCCGAACTAGTCAAAAGTCCCAGGGCTCAACTAGACTTTTACTATTTCTAAAATGAATAACTATGCTACCAAGAGGATGCCCTCAATCTCCACAATAAATGTAACCTCCAGCCCCTCAGCTGCACTTCTATCCGATTAGAATGTTTAGGAGCACCCTTCTATATCTATTCCCCTAAATTCCAATTTAACTTGCATTATAATCTAAACACCTGAGGAGGAAAGGTACACTTCTGGTCCAACTTGACATGGGGCTGATGCTACAGGTACATCACACATAAAAAATGAACATCAGGGTTAGGCCTAAGGACACAACATAATCACCTTGATTTCTAGGTCTGGAGGCCAGTGAAGAAATCAGATGGTCAAACTTAGAACTGGTATCTTAATAAATAACCCATGGCCACATATCTGTACTCCCCAGTAATACTTACGCAATCTTCCTGCTGTCAGGGTAACCTGGTCCCTGATAAAAGGAAACCCCTGCAAGAAACAAAACAACTCTTAATTAACATCTCTCATCTTACACAGGATACATGCTGGGAATGGAAAAGAAGTCTGTTGACCCCCTAACACTGAGACAGAACAGGATCAACTACAAGCAAGGATATAATCTTTTTTTTTTTTTTTTTTTCCCTCAGCCAGTGAGCAAACCGGCCATCCCATATATGGGATCCGAACCCGTGGCCTTGGTGTTATCAACCCCGCACTCTACCGAGTGAGCCACAGGCCGGCCCCGCAAGGATATAATCTTTTTTTTTTTTTTTCCTCAGCCAGTGAGCAAACCGGCCATCCCATATATGGGATCCGAACCCGTGGCCTTGGTGTTATCAACCCCGCACTCTACCGAGTGAGCCACAGGCCGGCCCCGCAAGGATATAATCTTTTTTTTTTTTTTTCCTCAGCCAGTGAGCAAACCGGCCATCCCATATATGGGATCCGAACCCGTGGCCTTGGTGTTATCAACACCGCACTCTACCGAGTGAGCCACAGGCCGGCCCCGCAAGGATATAATCTTTATCACACAGAGTACTGCTTCTCAAACTTTTACACCAAAGTAGCCTTAACAGCAGAGAGCAATGGGTATGTGGGTTTAACAATGGATATGTGTTTTGAGAGGAAAGGGGAGAAATCTGATGGCAGGGACCAAAATAGTTTTATAATCTTATTTACCTAAAAAATTCATTCTCCCTATGTTTTTATAATAAAATATCTCTAGTCCCCAAGTCTTCAAATACAATTAAAGGTTGAGACAGATATGTGATGGCTTACCCTGTGACTACACATAACCTAATCTGAGAAGCAGGAGAGATGTTTGGTCTGAGAGTGTATGGGCTGGAAATCTTATTGTGGGAAACCTAGTAGCAAAGACTAGGCTACTCTGGGCCCATGGTCTCCAGCTTGTCCTAGGACTGAGAAAATCATTTTCTCACCTTTTGTCTATTATCTTCCCATGCTCTTTCTGAAATCTTCCACCCTGGTCACTCTCAACAAGGTGAGAAGCCTTTCTGCCCACCAGTTGTCCTTACCACAGCCAGATAACAGCATTTCCCCAACCGATGACTAATAAGTGCAGTTGCCTCCCCTGAATACATTCTTTCTTATGTCTTATTTTTTTTTAATCTATTACTCTTTCTGAACCATGGGCTCAGGAGACACCAAATGAGAGTTCTCTCTTATACTCACCTCCTCATAAACATCCCCAGGGTCAAGTAAGTCAGTCACCTCTATGTCCAGCAGCCAATTATTATGCAGTGCAAATTCCAAGCACAGCATGTCTTTGAACTAGAAAAGCCAGCAGCTGATGCTGATTTTTGGAAACCTGAGTCCAATTTAGAGTTCCTCCTACAGCAAGTTTCATATATACAGTGTTTTAGGGATAAAAAAAAAGCTTTCACATAATGACCTCATTTTGATTTTCAAGCACAGCATGTCTTTGAACTAGAAAAGCCAGCAGCTGATGCTGATTTTTGGAAACCTGAGTCCAATTTAGAGTTCCTCCTACAGCAAGTTTCATATATACAGTGTTTTAGGGATAGAAAAAAAGCTTTCACATAATGACCTCATTTTGATTTTCTATACAGTGTTTTAGGGATAAAAAAAAAGCTTTCACATAATGACCTCATTTTGATTTTCAAGACTCACAACAACTCTCTAAAGTGGAATGACCATCTGCCATTATTCCCATTTTTTCCCCCATTTCATATATAAGTAGGGCTTCCAAAAGTTAAGTGACTAGCCCAAGGTGAATCTCCAAGGCAAAATGCAAACCCCCAAGTGCAAGGCTCTTTCAACTGTACTGCCAGTCTATAAAGTGGAGAAAGCATTAACTGACATTTTTTCAGGATTGCCAGTTGAAAAGAATGTTTATTATTGAGAGTCCACTACAAGCTGACACTGTGCTGAATGCCTTATATTCTCTTGATTCTTAGGATAAAGTCCAAACATTTTATAAGATCCTGCACAGTCCAGCCCTCCTATTTTTCCAGCCAGACAGGCTTCCTTTTCATTTCTATGATTGGTCAAGTCCCTTTTGGCTGATACCTTTGCACCAGCAATTCCCTTTGCCTGGAATATCATTTCTTGACTAACTCCCATGTATTCTTTTTTTTTTTTTAAGATCTTTTTGTTTTCATTTTTGGTGGCTGGTATGGGGATTTGAACCCATGTCCTTGGTGTTATAAGGGTACGCTCTAACCAAGAGAACTGGCCAGCCCCTATGCAATCTTTAAGTCTCAGCTTAAACGTCACTTCTTTGGGGAAGCTTTTACTGACACTTCCGCTGCATTCTCCACCTTATCATACCCTGTACTTACTGGTAATGTGATTACTCCCTTAGGTATGCATAAATGTATATTTGCTCTTTGTCTCTTCAGCTAGCCCATAAGATCCTTGAAGGTAGAGACCACCTGTATCCTGTTACCTAGCACATTGGTTGGCATATAGTAAACACTCAATAAACGATCTGTTGAGTACATGAGTAAATGAGAACATGGTAGGTTCAGAGTTAAGGCTGAGGAGTCAGGTAGTCTTAGCTTGACCTCACAGTTGGTTAAGTGACCTTGACCAAGGCACTTAACCTCTCCTGTCTTGGGTAAAGCATTTGTAAAATAGAGATAATACCTCTCTTACTGTTTTGTGATGATTAATTTAAAAATGCACTCATAACAATGCTTGGCACAAAGAAAGCCCACAATAAGACTGACTCATTCAACAAATATTTATGCTAAGCATATAATAAAAAAATAAGTTATGTAAGATATTTTATTAATAACTTCAGGAAAAAAAAAAACTATTGGAATAAAATCTAAACTCTTTCCAATAGCCTCTACACCATATTCTATCTTGTGCCACTCTCTCCGTTAACCAAATGCTCGGGACAAATCACCCTTTTTCCAGTTCCTAAATATTGCTAACCGCTTTCCTTCCTCGGGAAGGAAACATATTGTACATGTCATTCCCTTTCTCTCCTCCCCTCTTCACTAGGCTAGCTCTATCACATCTTCCAGGTCACAGTTTTAATGTCACCCATTCAAAGAGGTCTCTTCTGTCCACCCTCATTTGTTTCCTTCTCAGCACTTACCAAAATTTGTGACTGTTCATTCATTTAGCAATTTACACTTTGTCTTTCCCACTAGCACATAAGTTCCAAGAGGGCAAGAATTGTTAATTGCTGTATCCCTAGTGAGTGCCTAGCATAATGCCTGACACACAGGAGAAACTCAGTAACTACTCCCTGAATGAATAAATGACAGCTGTTGCGATTAAGTAGCATTTTGTTGCACTACCATCTAAACTGTCTTGGGACATTATGAGGAGAAACACAGGCATCCCCGATTTCCTCACATACTCCTCTGCCCAGGAGTAGAGCATTTTAGGTGACGGCAAGCGCAGAACTTACCAGGCAGGGAACGTCTCCCTAGAGGGCAGTTCCCCTGTTGAGAAAGAAGACATTTATCGACGTCACCCAAGATGAAAAGAGGGAAAAAACAGCTTTTCTTTTAAGTACACACTCAAAGCTGTCCCAGTGCTGGTGACAGGTGAATCTCGTTAACTCCAAAGGTAAATGCAACACACAGAGCTCGCAGTCCCAATCAGCATACTGGACCTACCAAACGATCTCAACTTCCCAACGGGACGGATACCCACTGATTTTAACAGAACGAGAGGAGACAGCAACCCGGATTCGTCGGGGGACTCCGTCGCGCCTTCTCCAGAACTCTTGAGTCTAATGTCGGGACGGGCGCGGCTCCCCATCTCCGGCGCGGAGAGTGGGGTACAGCAGAAACGGTCGACGCAGGCTGCCTCAGGAAGGTAAGGGATCGCCGGGCTCCGCAGGTCCCGCAAGACCGCTCCAAGCCGCCCAGCCCGCGCGGCCTCCGCGTCCGGGTGCCCTTGGTGTCCGGCCTGGCCGGCGTGCAGCGCCCTTACCCTCCAGGCCTCCCGTCCACCCACCGGCAGGTTCCTCACCCGCCGGGGTCCCGGCCTAAACAGACCGTACCTTCTGGAAGGCGGAGAGCGAGAGGCTGAACGCCCGGGACACGCAGCGGGATCGGGACAGCATCGCGGCAGCAGCGGAGCCGAGGGCGGGCGGACACCGGATATAGGGCCCGGCAACAATCGGAAGTAGGGCGGGCTGCAGCACAAGCCGCGCGGCGAGGGGTGTTCGGAGCGAACCATTGGAAGAGGGGGGGGGCACGGGCAGCGCGCAGCAGCACCCGCCGCAACTTAGGGGTCTGGCTCTGGTGAGCAGGCAGCTGTGGGGCGCTCTCGGAGCCTGCCGAGCTGCCTGCCAGCCTGGGCTGGCCCTCCCGAAGTTTCCTACGACTGTCGGGCAATCGGATCACCCCCAGGGTCAGGCCTTCCCTGATCATGCCTCCGAGCGGGCTCTGAACTTGGCGTCCTTCTCTCCTGGGATCCCGGGGCACCGCGCCATTCCGCTTTTGCGGCACGGAGAGAGCGAAAGACGGGCACGGGCTTTGAACTCGGACCTTGGCAGACATGCGTGCCTGATCTTACCCTTGTGTGGCCTCGGGCAGCTGACATTGCCTCTCTGAGCCTCAGGTTCCTCAACTATTTAAAAAAAAAAAATGGATTTGTCACTTCCCCGTCTTCCTAACCCCAAAACAAAGAACCAGAGTCCCAAGGAACCTTTAAAGGGTTCTCATTCCCCTTTTAGGAGCCGAAGATCTTCACCAACTACCCTTACTTCTGCAGTATCTGATCTTCACCCCTCTCTACGAAAACTCTCTCCAGTCAAACAAATTGTTTCCCCCACACCCTGTGCATTTTGGAAGTAGTTCCTTTGTCACCCTACCCCTAGAATATAAACTCCTAATGTGGAGTTCCTATTCTGTCTTATTCACTGCTGTATCCCCAGCACCTACAACAGACTGACACAGGTAAGGTTCTCAATAAATATTTGTGGGCTGAATTTGGCCCTCCCACCTCTGAGCATACCATTCTGCAAGCTGCTTTGAATTGAAAGCACATAGCATCCCCTCCCCCTTCTTAACTGCTCCTTCCCCTTAAGTCCTCAGCCCCTGAGTATTCACCTTTAGAGCTCACCTTCCTAATAGAAAAGGTGTTCTATAAACCTAAGGCTGAATTAATAACGAATGAATGATCACCTGGTACCAGTTCATGTTGGTTTCTTTACCTGAGTCACCTGGTCCTCAGGATCTTTACAGTGCCTTCACTCACCCAAACCCTGAAAACACTGCCACTGGAATTCTTTCTGGAGAATGCACAGAAGCCCTAACTAGAAATACAGAAGACATCTGCGTCCTGCTGCTGCCTATGAGCAAGTCCTCAGCATCCTTCACCTGGGTTATTTTATAAGCTTCCTGAGCAGTCCTGACTGTCCATGCTCACTTTCTCTAGCCTATCCTTCACACCTGTGCCAAAGATCCTTCTGAAATGCAAACCTAATCCTGGCACTCTCCTGCTTAAAGTCTTTCAATTGCTTCTCCCTGTCTGTAGGATAAAGTTCAAACTCCCCAATTTAACCAGGGAATAATCTGGTTTCTGACTATGTTCTGATCTTCTTCCCCCATTCTCATAGATCTTAAGCTTCAGTCATAACACAATACTGGCTCCAATGTGCTATTTCACTACTTCACATCTTTGCATGGGCTGTTCCCTCCTCCTGTCTGCCTAGGGACTCCTAATCATCCTTTAAGTCTTTCTGAATCCCTACCTAATCCCCTTTGGCAGAGTTAGCAGATCTTTTTCTAAGCTTCTAAAGCATTGTGTCATTACTCTACATTGCATTGTGTTGTAATGTCCTGTTTACCTGTCTGCTTCCTCTATTGGGCCTCACAGCAGGAGAAAAAGAAACTACTCTCTATTTAGGAAAACTAAATCCTCTGCACATGATGCAGTGTCTGATACACTTTAGGTACTCAATAAATATTTGTGGAATGATTAAATACTTCTGTGCTTACAGCATTGCTAGACACAGCTGAAGAGTCCAAGAACAATAATCAGGAGCTATGGCAATCTCTTGCCAGGGTTGCTGTTAATATTTCTTGGAAAGCTACTTAATTCTTTCAGTTTTAATCATTAATTTTTGAGATTCTTGTATAAGGTTTAGAAGTTATAGTGTGAGAGAGCCTGGTTATAGTGTGACAAAGCATTTCTCCTGGAGTCTTAGTGATCACCCAAGTTAATATTAGATTTTACAGCCTTAGACACCACACACACACACACACACACACACACACACACGTGCATGGTAGCATGCAAAGTCCCTCTCAGGATAAAGGTTGAAATTAATTTCCTTTAGATTCACATATGAGCTTCCATAGAGTCCAAGGGTAACCTAATAAGCTAGTGCCCTTTTCTGCATTTAGAGCCTCCCAGGACACAGCATCCATCATCTATTGGGACAAGAGTTTATTAATATAAGTTGTGACAGGATTCAAAAGATAATTTTTAAAAAACATTTTTATTGTTAAATATATATTCAAAAAGGTGTATAAATCTATGTGCATGATTTAAAGAAAAATAATAAAAGGAATACCCATAGATGCTACCCATTTTAAGGAATGGAAAAACCCTATGTGGCCATCCTCAATCATCATCCCCAGTTAACCACTACTGTACTGAATTATATTATTATGGATTGAATTGTGTCCCCCCAAAGTTTAATATGTTGGAGGCTTGGTCCCCACTGTGACAGTGTTAAGAGGGTGGAAAATCCTATTGTGGTAGTTGAAAGGTGGGGCCTTGGAGAGGTGATTACATTGTGAGGACTGTACCCTGTGAATGGACCAATCCATTCCTGGATAATGGGAGTGGTTCTGAGGGCTTTAAAAGGAGAGTGAATGAGAAGGTTAGTCTCACTCTCTGCTCCACCGTTCTGCCATAAGAGAACCCTGTGTCACTGTCACCACCAACAAGGCTTTCACCAATGTGTTCCCTGGACTTCGGACTTTCCAGTCTCCAAAACTGTAGGCAATAAATTTCATTTTCTTACAAATTACCTAGTTCCATGTATTGAGTTATAAGCAAAGAAATGCACTAATACAGAAAATTGGTACCAGAAGTGGGTCGTTTATAACAAATACTTGAAAATGTGGAAATGGCTTTGGAACCGCGTGTTGGACAAAATTTGGAGGAGTTTAGAGGACTTAGAAGAAGACAAAGATGAATGAAAGGTTGGAACTTCTTAGAGACTGGTTATGTGGTGGTGAGCAGAATGTCCTAATAGAAATATGGACAGCGAAGACCATTCTGAGATCTCAGATGTAAATGAGAAGGGACTTTTTGGGAACTAGGGCAAAGATTGCCCTTGCTATGAACTTGCAAGGAATCTGGCTGCATTCTGTTTGTGCCGAAAAGTTTTATGGAATGTGGAACTTTAAGGTGCTGACCCAGGGTATTTGGTGGAAGAAATTTCTAAGCAGCAAAGCATTCAGGAAGTTGCATGGCTACTTGCAACAGCTTGTGCAGAGTTATGGCAGAAAAGCCATAATGTGAAGCCAGAATTTATAATTCAAAAGAAAGCAGAGGGCAAACAATTGGAAAACTTTCAGCCTGGTCATGAAAACAAGGGTGTAGCCTAGAGACCCTTTGCTAAGGAGATTAGTACAAAAGAAAGGGATTATCAAGAGAAGGGAAAAAAGACCTTGAAGGCATTTCAGAGATCTTGGAGGCTGCATCTACCATTACAAACCCAGAGGCCTAAGGAAACAGAGTGGTCTTGGGGCACAGGCCTGAGACACCCTCCGCAGGCTTGCTGCCCAGAGTCACCTTGGGATGCTGCTCTCCACACCAGCATCCCCGCTGCTTTGGCTGTTCCAGCTGTGGCTAAATTGACCTCAGCTGTGACTGGACCTACAGCTTTGGAAAGTACAAGAAGCCTTGGTGGTGTCCTTGTGATGATAAGTTTGCCAGCTCACAGAATGCCAGAGCTGTGGAGGCTTGGAAGCCTCCCCACTGACCCCAAAATTTCAAAGGATATATGGAAAAGCCTGCATACCCAGGAAAAGACCTGTCACAGGGGTGGAGTCACTGTATAGAGCCTTCATTAGAGCAATGCCAAGCAGAAAAGTGGGGTCAGAGTTGCAGCAGAAAAACCCCATCAGCACCATGCCTGTGGGAGTGAGACCCCAGAATTGTGGAGCTACAAATGTACAATGCCAACTTTCAAGAGTTAAAGCATGGCCAGAGACCAGTAAAGTCATAGGAGTGGAGCTGCTGGAGAGGACTTGGGAACCCAACCCCCACACCAGCATGCAGAGGACATTGAACATGGACTCAAGGTACATGATTCACCAGCTTTAAGATTTGATGCCTGTCCTGCTGGGTTTTGGACTTGTTTGAGACCTGTTACCTCTTTCTTTTGGCCTATTCCACCCCCACTTTTTTTTTTCAAAAAAGACGACCAGTAAGGGGATCTTAACCCTTGGCTTGGTGTTGTCAGCACCATGTTCAGCCAGTGAGCGAACCAGCCATCCCTATATAGGATCCGAACCTGTGGCCTTGGTGTTATCAGCACCACACTCTCCCGAGTGAGCCATGGGCCGGCCCCCTATTTTTCCCTTTTGGAATGGGAATATGTACCCTATGTTTGTCCTACTATTGTATCTTGGAAGCAGATAACTTGTTTTGATTTCACAGATGGGACTTTGAATTTTGGACTTTTGAGTTGAAACAAGTTAAGACTTTGGGGATGAAATGAATGCATTTACCTGCAACAAGGACATGAACTTTGGGGGTCAGGGGAAGACTATTATGGATTGAATTGTGTCCCCCCAAAGTTTAATGTGTTGGAGGCTTGGTCCCCATAGTGACAGTGTTAAGAGGGTGGGAAATCCTACTGTGGCAGTTGAACAGTGGG